AAACTTCATGATTCTTGTGTGAATCAGTCACGACGAGCTAACAGCTTGTTACCATGTAGCTACGCAGCTGGTTACAGTTGCCCACAGCTAAGCAGCATAGCACAAAGCTATGAAGCTAGCTAGCTAGTATAATAAAGTCAACATGAAACCTTTGATTTCATAAAGAAGAAACTCATCAGCCTTTAACTTTAAAATGAAAACAGTTTTTGTGATGCTATGTGATGCGTAGCCTCTGCTAGCTGCTTAAATATGTTAGCTGAACATGAACCCAAAGACGTCGATTTGATTTTTATGAGGGTTTAGAAAGATAAACATCAGAGTTTTAGCATTTATGTTGAGAGCAATGTGTCTCAAAGCTGCGTTGTTTTGAATCTGAGCTAATTAAAGTTTATTGGCTGCAGAGCAAAGGGGAAGATTTCAGGTGGAACACAGAAGACTAACCCGTGATTACCTGGTGGGGAGGAACTGGAAACTCATTTCTGAAGCAACACAACCTGACGTGGAGGGAATAAAATCCGTCTGCTAGATTATTTTTGTTGTTGTTTTTAAATATAATCACAGATCAATAACCAAATCTTTAAAATGGTGATCTCTGTTTGATCTGTGACCTTAAAAACCAAGATATAAATCAGAAGAGGAGATAAAATCTGCAGGATTAGCATCTTCCTAACTTCTCTACTTTCAGTCTAACTGTGGCGGATCCTCTTCATGTTCCACACTGACAGGTGACTCCAGGTGTGGCGCTTCGCAGGAATTGATCAGGCTGGAGCAAAGCTAACAGCTAACTGCTAACAGCTAACAGAACGATTCAGCAGGTTTTTCCAGAGACTCTAAGATCAACAAACAGAGAGCAGATGAAGTCATGAGTCCAGATCAGTCAGGCTGGAACAGAACCGGGTTCAGGCTGGAACAGAACCGGGTTCATGCTGGAACAGAACCGGGTTCAGGCTGGAACAGAACCGGTTCTGTTGAGTCAAAGTCTCCTCTTGCATTAATTTTAAGATCCAGAGGAAAGAAGCTGCAGAACTTTATCCATCTTTTTAATTTAAATCAAAATAGTTGAAACTGGACTCGGTCAAAGAAAGCAGATATTGGTATCAGCCGGTATCGGCCCGATCGGTGCATTTCTGCGTTTCCATCAAAACAACAAACAGCCTGACTGGATGAGTCGCTTTTATTTCTGGTTCTGATGCCTTTCGGTAAACTTCCTGTTTCCTCCAACAGCCCAGAAACCAGCAGGATATTTAAAGTTTGACCTTTCAATAGATTAGTCGGTTTAATCGTGATTGATCAATTTATGACGTAATTGTCAACTAATCGCTAACTGAGCAGCCTCTCATGATGTCAGGGCGTTTAGCTGAAGCCGATCAAACCTTCACTAAAGGAAATTATTTATTTCAAATCATTTCAACGTTTATTTAATGTATTTCTAATATTATATAAAAGAGGATTAAACGGTTAAATGAAAAATGTGCAGAATGTGACAATTTATCTGATTATTTGTTACAATATTCAATTAATCATTAGAATAATTAATAGTCAAAAGTGTATTGGCAGAATAATTGATTAATCGTTGGAATAATCAATCAATCGTGAGGAGAACTGAGGATCATGATAGTTAGCAACAGAAAATCACCTAAATGAGCAGAAATCGGTTTGAAATCGGTTTGGGAGGAAACGGTTCTGAATGAAGAGTTTGAGTCGTTCCTTTAAGAGAACGTTCTTTATGTCTGTAAGTTCCCGCAGCAACCGGCCCTCAGGGTGTGTGAGGCGGATCAACATGACAACTAAAGGTCGCAGGTTTTATGGTCGCCAAGCCATCCGGAACCGAACCGAACCGAACCGACAACAAACGGTCAGCAGGAACTGGGTCGAGTCAGCGGTTTGACTGGGAACCGGTCAGGAACCGGTCCGGAACCGGCCGGACTCACCTGGAGGAGGAGATGCTGAAGTCTCCTCCGTCCACCAGCCGAACTTTGCAGAACAGAACCCCGTTGACGAACGGAACCGCGGCCAGTTCCTCCAGGACGAAGTGGACCTGGAACTTGAACTTTTTCTTCTTGATCAGAAAAGCCATGATCCACAAAGAACCAGCTGAACCCTCAGCCGAACCGCAGCGGAACCACGCAGGACAGACTGGGTCCGGTTCTACAGGAGGCAGAATTCTGGTCGGTGAATCATTCCTGCTGGATCCTGCTGACCGGGACCAGAACCAGAACGTTATCCCGGTCCGGACCAACTCCGAACCGCAGCAGTTTTGGAACCGCTCTGCCACGCAAACACCGCCAAACTCACCGCACAATCCGGGTCAGAACCGGATCTGAACTCCGAACTTCCTGGTTCTGATCTTCAGGACATGTGTGGGTTCGTCCCCGCAGCGGAGCCCCGCAGTCAGAGGCGCGCCGAACCGAACCGAACCGAGCGACCTGTTCAAAGAGAGGGGCGGCCCGCCGAGCGCGCGCGCCGCCGCGGGAGCGCGCAGCCATCAAACCAGAACTGAGTAAACTAAACTAAACTAAACTAAACTAAACTAAACTAAACTGAACTAAACTAAACTAAACTAAACTAAACTGAACTAAACTGAACTAAACTAAACTAAACTGAACTAAACTAAACTAAAGTAAACTAAACTAAACTAAACTAAAGTAAACTAAACTAAACTAAACTAAACTGAACTAAACTGAACTAAACTAAACTAAACTAAACTAAAGTAAACTAAACTAAACTAAACTAAAGTAAACTAAACTAAAAAAGTAAACTAAACTAAACTGAACTAAACTGAACTAACTGAACTAAACTAAACTGAACTAAACTAAACTGAACTTACCTGAACTAAAGTAAACTAAACTAAACTAAACTAAACTAAACTGAACTAAAGTAAACTAAGTACTCCCCCTGCTGCTGCCACCAGGTCTAAACCTGGAACTTTATTTTGTATTTTTCTAATTCTGAAGATTTTAGCTCAGTTAGAAAATGTAAAGATTAAATTAAAACCAGTTTAAATTTATTTTTAGGACAGAAATGTTTATTGACCTGGAACCCACCGGCGACCCCAAAGAGGGAGCCCAGGGGCCCGGGGCCCTGAGGGAAAATACTGCTCAACTACACAAAGAAATATAAAAGAAATAAATGGAAGAAAATGTAAAATGTTTGTGAAAGCCTTAATTTCAACAGTAATTTATCAATTAATTGTAATTATTTGAATGTTTTAAAATGACTATATTTCATAGTTTGAAGTCATTCTGGGAATCAGAGGCTGGAAAGTTTGGGAACGCCTGCTGTAGACCCGGCGTTCCCAAACTGGGCGTCGGGCCCCCAGAGGGTCATGAGACACCAGCTGGGGGTCATGAACTGATATTCAGAATAATATTGATGTGATCCCTGATCTACAGAGGCCCAAACAGATACAATTTTAAATAATTAAAGGTAAGATCAGATGCCTAATTAATTATCTAGTAACATTTAAATAATAAGATTTCAATAAAATAAATGAATTTCAGAGTAAATTGTTGCTCCGGTCACTCTGATCTTCAGTTTCTTCTTCTCCTGCATCAGGCTGGATGGAGACATCTGGCGGCCATTTTCCCTCCAGATGTTGACGACTGTCAGCTCCTGCATCCCCATAGCATGATGCTGCCGCCCCCATGTTTCACTGTAGGCCTGGTTTCATCAGAGTTAAGAAATCTGGAGGACAACCTGTTTCCATAGCAACGCTCACAAGATGATGTCACTTCCTCCAACAGACACTATGTTCAGTTTTTAGCTTAAAAACCAGAATTCAGATTTTATTTTTTAAAAATGATTTAATGTCTACAGACACAAACAGAACTGCATTCATAAAAACTCAGAGTTTTGGGGACACAGCGCCCCCAGTGGTGCAACTGCAGCACTGCAGCGTCCTGTCTGCAGCCTGTAAAACCAGGCTGGGCATCAGAACCGGGTCAGAACCGATTGAGAACTGGAACTGGCTCAGTGAGTCTCCTCCAGCGGGTCTGAACTGGGTCAGAACCGGATTCGGGTCAGTGTGTCTCCTTCAGCGAGTCTGAACCGGGTCAGAACCAGATTCGGGTCAGTGTGTCTCCTTCAGCGGGTCTGAACCGGATCAGAACCAGATTCGGGTCAGTGCGTCTCCTCCAGCGGGTCTGAACCGGATCAGAACCAGATTCGGGTCAGTGTGTCTCCTCCAGCGGGTCGGGTCGCTGTGGCGCTGCAGCAGGGCTCTTACACGGCTCTGTTCTTCTTCTGCAACGGCGGCGGCGGCGGCGACCGGCGCCGTTGCCGCGGGCGCCGGCTCTGCCCCGCTCTGCAGGAACTTCCTGAGGTCTTTGAGCGCGGGCCGCAGCATCTGGACCAGCGCCAGCAGCGCGGCCTGCGTCCCCTCCAGCGCCTGCGCCTGCCGCTCCTGTGCCAGCGCCTGCGCCTCCTGGCAGCGCCGCATCACCTGCAGCAGCAGCTCGTTCTGCCCCTCCAGGTGCTGCGCGATCTGGCGGATGTGGACGTTGGTGACGCGCTGCTCCTGCAGCAGGCGCGCCGAGTTCAGGGCGATGCGGCTCTTCAGCTCCTGCGGCTTGGCCTGCGGCGGCGCCGCGAGGCTAACGACGGCGCCAGCATCTCCACCGGCGTTTCCACGGCGGCCATCACGGTGGGGGCGGAGTCTCCCACGGCGGAGGCGGCAGTACTCCACCACGCCGCCGTCCTCCAGGGCGTGGTACGTGGTTTCAGCTGCAGGCGGACGAGACGGACGGGTTGAGCTCAGATCTGGAGCAGAACCTCAGCAGGTCCGGGACGGGGAACTTACCGGTCACGCTTGGGCTCCTCACAGACGCCCCCTGCTGGTCCTGGAAGAGCTGAACAACATGGAGGATGGAGGTTAACGTCAGCTGGGTGGTGACATCATCACAGTTCCACCAATCAGAGCGTCTCATTCAGATCTACAGCAGAGCTCACAGCTGACATGGTGGTTTAAAATCAGAGGATTTTAAAGCTTTTTAACTTTGAGAAGTTAAAAGCTTTTTATAAAAAATCTGTTGTTGAATTTGAATAAAGATGCAATATAATAATAATAATAATAATAGTTATTATTATTACATTTTTTTCAGTAATACAGAATTAAATCTCAGTAGAGAAATTTTGATGTATATTTTAACGGTAATGATTTTTTGTTTAATCTATCCTTAATTATTTTAACAATGTTTGTTCATTTTGTTGATTTATTAACGCGTTTACTTGAATTTATTCCTGTTTCTATTTAAATGTGTCATTTTTATCAGTTTATAAATTTGTGATAACTTGTTAATTTACCAAACAGCCCAATCGCATTTAAAGTTTTTTTAAAAACATCATCTGATCATCTTTTTATTTTTAAGTCTTTATTCGTACTAATGATGTTAATTGTTGTAATAGTTTTTACAAGTTATTTTTAATTTTTTTTTATCAGTGTATCTTTTAAAGAAAAAACCTTTAAAATTATTTTTTAAAATGTATTTTTTTATTTTAAAGTTTATTTTGACAAAGTTTTTAAATCGATTTATGGTGGTATGTTTACACATAACATTTCTAAATATAATGTATAACTTCTGAGTGTTTGTGGGGCAGGTGACCTCTGACCCCGGCGTGTTTACCTTCCGCCAGGGTCACGGTGGTCGCGGCGCTCACCGCCACCGGCAGGCCGCCCTCCGCCTCCGGGTCCCCGGCCGGTAAGCTGATGATGGTGGCCTCCCCCAGCAGGTTGCAGATCCGCTGCTGCATGGCGGTGAGGATGACCGGGACCGGAGCGCAGTCCGCGGCCGTGCCTCGATTGCGGCCCGCGCCTGGGCCACCTTCCGGCGGACCTCGGTCTTCATGTCGGACCACTTCTTCTTGACCTCGGGCAGCTCGCGCGGGCAGGTGGTGACGGCGTTCACCTTCTTCAGGATGTCCATCCAGGCGTTGTTCTTGGCCATGTGCGTGACTCCCGCGTTGAAGTGGCTCACCAGAGTCTGCTTCTGCTTCTCTATTTCCTCCACGATGATTTCCACCTCCCGCTCCGAGAAATTCATCTTCCTCTTCTTGGCGGCCGAAGCCATACCTGCGGGAGCAGCTCCTGGCGGAGGTAAGCCTGCGTAATGTACGCAAAAATAGTACGATTTGCTCACTTTCTGAGCGCAGCGTAATGGCTTCCAGAATCGGCTTCTTCTTCCGACAAACAACGCTTACGTTAGCCGGGAACGAAGCCCCGCCCACTGCGCGCCTATTGGCTGGGTGGCATGCGAACGCTCACAGCGCTGTGCTCCTATTGGCTGAGGAAGATGCCAGTAACTTTTCAACAGTTGGGCTGGAGAACAACAAAGCAGGATCTAAACATGTTCTCCACAACAAACACGGTCAAAACTCAGTTCTCACAGTTAAAATTCATTGAAAAATTCAATATTGGAAAATTAAAAGATTGAAATTCATTTTAGCATTGATAACACAATTTTAAAAAAATCTTATTCCTGCATAATAATCATTCAATTAAAAGTTTATCCGGTTCCACCAGAAAATAATAAAAAGTCACAATAATCCTAGAATAAAGTCCCATTATTATGACTGTAGCTTATGTTTTTCAGAGGTCATAAAATATCAGTTTCTGTGAGCAAATTGACCCAACCTTATTGTGAAGTTAATAAGTCTGCATCATAAATGCATTAAAATCCTTTACATCACATCATTTTCACAGAAAACAAATCCTCCAAAACCTGTATCATGCAAATTAAACTATGTTTACTGAACATACATTTCAACATCAAACTGTTTATGATCCATTTATTGATTAATTAATTAATTTAGTTTCTCTGACTGGCTTCATGGCTTCACCTTCGTTTTTTTAATCATTTTCAAGCTGCAGAAACTCAAACAGGAAAAGTTCAAACTGGAAGCAGGAAACCATTTTTTATTAAATTTTTTTATTATTGGCACCATCATCTTCAAAATAAATCCATAATTTAAACATTTTATGACACCTTCATTGTAGTCTGACTGCCAAAGGTTTAGAGAGAAATTCATGGAATTAATATATCAATACCAACATTGATTGGATCAGATAAAGGCTGAATAATGTTGATGCAGTACCTCTCACCGCCTGCAGGCGTCAGTGTAATCATTTACATTAAGGCTCATTTAAATCTGATCTGAACCGGATCAGAACCACAACCATCCTCAGTAGTGTTGAACAAAGTGGAAGAGACAGAAACACAGAGAGACTGGGATCATGAAGGCAGAGGTTCTGGTTCTGCTGGGTCCGGTTCTGCAGCGCCGACCCGTCCAGCAGAGACCAGCGGTTCATGTAAACAAGTTCAGCTCAAGTGAGACTCGGAAACTCGAGGCCGGTCTGATCAGAACGGACCCTGCTGGGGCTCCTCAGCGGGTTCTGGTTCTGAAGCTCAACTGGGTCACGGTTCTGTTGGGTTTAGACGCAGACCGGACTGGGTTTGGACCACTGTGACCCGATGGTACCCGCAGCCAATCACTGATCAGAACCACCTGGAAAGTAAAGAAAGTCCAAAACAACAAGACGACCCGGCTGGTGAGAGAGGAGCTTCAGAACCGGGACAGAACCGGTTCCACCTGGAAGGTCCATTTTCACCAAGCCTGGAAGTAAAGCAGCACCGACCCGTCCCAGATCACCCAGCGCTCCCAGTCTACCCGTCCTCTGGGTCCAGGTGTTTGAGGACGCCTCCCACCAGGTGCAGGCTGCCGGTCACCAGGATGTGGACGTGTGCGGCGTCCCGAAGCGCCGCGGCCTTGGCGGCCATGCTGGGTGTGACGGGCGCCGCCGTCTGGGCCGGCTGGGTCAGAACCGGGTCTCTTCCCTGGGCGATCCAGCGGAGGGCGCTGAGGATGCAGGGGAACACCAGCGTGTCCGCCTTCCTCTCGGCGAGCGGCGCCGGTCCGTCCCGGATCAGCAACGGCGCCGCGTTCTCTTCTCCGCCGTCGCCCAGGAGACGCCAGCTCCGCTCGTTGTCCAGGCAACCGGTCAGCATGGCCTCCACTGTGACGTTGAAGTTCTGCTGGTCTGAGAGGAGACGGGTCCATGTTCAGAGAGAAGCACCAGAGTTCTGCTGGACCCGCCGGTCCAGAACCAAATATCAGCAGGTAGAGGAGGAACAACATGAAAACCGAACAGTTCCCTCCAGAACCGAACAGTTCCCTCTACAACCGAACAGTTCCCTCCAGAACCGAACAGTTCCCTCTACAACCGAACAGTTCCCTCCAGAACCGAACAGTTCCCTCCAGAACCGAACAGTTCCCTCAGCAGCAGACGGCGGCTCTGACCTGCGTTACCGGAGGCGACGGTTTCGGTGATGTTGGGGCAGAACACGGCCAAGTCGAAACGACACGGCTGGAGGAGAGAGCAGAGAGGCTGCCGTTAGCCCACCTGGACCCGGTCCGGTTCTGTCTGACCCGGTTCTGACTCACCAGCAGCAGCTTCAGCATGGCGGCAGCGTCTCTTTGCCCGGAGGAGTTGAACAGCAGAACCCGGCCACGGCGCCACTGAAACACAGCAGCAGGTCAACAGAAACGGCTTCACACAGACCCGGGTCAGTACCGGTCCGGTCCGGCTCACCTGGCGCCGCTCTGGGGCTGGGCGGCGGCCTCCTGGAACCACTGGACGCAGGCCTGCATGCTGCGGTGGGTGTGGGCTCCATCCAGGAAGTAGGTCAGCGCGCCGCGCCGCAGCGTCTGGTTCCGACCGGCCCAATGCGTGTCTGCCAGGCCTGGTACCAAACGCAGAAACCGTGACCAGGTGCCGGTTCTGCGAGTCCGAAAGAATGGTTCCGGGACTCACCTTTCACCATGGCGGCGCCGGGCCGGAAGGAGTCCGCCTGCGATAAGCAGCTGCTGTCCGGATCAGGGAGGGCGGGGCTTGAATCTGCAGAAACAGAAAGTCCAAACGGGCTATTCCACACAGAACCTCTCAATCAGAACCTCTCAATCAGAACCTCTCATATAGTTTGGGTGCAGGGATCTTTAGTTATGCTTGTAAACTGGCCTCCGGTCACCAGGTGGCAGCAGAGCTCAACCTGACCAGGCTGACAGAGAATTTTCCAACAAAAGAAAAAATGTCGGAAGAACCGAGTGAAGCAAAAGTAAAAAAATTAATTAGCAAAATAAATTTATAATTTTACGAGAAAACTGGTTTAGTGAGAAAAAACTGTGATGTCATCAAAGTCCTGCGGTTGATGAAGATTTGATCCTGATGTGAACGTTTCCTCACCTGGGCCACATCTCCTCTGCAGCCAGGTGTGGCAGAGCTGCAGGGCCAGAGACGCGTTGGAGCGCTGGTGCTGACCCGCCAGGCCCAGCTGCAGCGCGCCCGGACTCCGTCTGGTACCGGTCCAGGTCCGGACAGACCCGCAGCGGACACTGCAGCGGCAGACAGCAAGACGTGAGGATGATGGCCGGCGGCGCTGACCTGCCGGACCGGGACACTCACCCGGATCTCTCTGGCCCGGTCCCTCAGAACCGCCATGGCTTCCTGAGGCTGCCGGACCGTGAATGCGGGAACGCCCGGCTGCACAAACGAGTCAAAGGTCAAACCCTGGGTGAAGAACCGGACCTACAGCGACCCAACCAGAACCAGTTGCACCTTGAAGATTCCCGCTTTCTGCCAGGCGATCTTCTCGATGGTGTCGCCCAAAATCTGGTGTGGTCGATTCCCAGAGAGGAGACGCCACAGACCCACGGCCTCCTGGGAACGCACGGGTCAGTGAGCGGCTGGAGCGCGACACCAGAACCAGAACCCAAAACAAGGACCCGACAGAACCAGAAACCAGACATCTACTTTCTACCCAATAAGCTGGACAAGCTAAGCTAAACTATGCTAAGCTAAACTAACCATACCAAGCTAAGGTATGCTAAGCTATACGAGGCTAAGCTACGTTGAACTACACCAGGTTGCACTAAGCTAAGCTAAGCAACAAACTCCAGAACTCAACACAGAACCAAACATCTAGCCAGTCCTGACACTAATAGGTGCTAAGCTATGCTACGCTACACCAAGCTAAATGAAACTAAGCTAATATTTCCCTCTGCTGGAGAGGGATAGCTTCCAGCCTTAAAGTGACAACGTCCACCTGACAACGTTGGTGCAGTCGTACGCTCCTCCGATCCCGACTTCGATGATGGCCAAGTCCACCTGAACGAAAGCAGCCAATCAGATGCAACGATGGGAAGCAGCCAATCAGACGCTGCGTGGCGAGAGCTCACCTTCTCCTGCAGGAAGACGTGGAACGCCAAGATGGTGAGGAACCGGAAGTACGCCCGGCATCGTCCCTCCATGAGCCTCCTGAGGTCAGAGGTCAGAATCAACTTACCAAGTACAATAAATGACTTCACGTCCGCACCATCAACCCTCCACCACCGAGCCTCAGGCATAAAAAACAGTTTTGATGGGATTTTGGCCATATTTGACATCATCTTTGACTGTCTTCAGTCTTACTGAACTGTAGCCATTTTCACCTGTATGACGAGTAAACACAGAGTTTGGGGGCGTGGCCAGCAGCAGCTCATTTGCATATAAAGATTTTTGGTCCTCTGGGTTTGCCATACGTGACAAACAGTCACCATCAAAACGCAAAGTGAGGCCTGAACGTCTCCAATAAGCCAGTCTGTGGAGTCACATGGAGGTCACATGGAGGTCACGCTCTGCCCCATCACAGCACTCATTAACTGGTTCCTCCTGCCTGGAACTGGGCCCAGTGCGGACCGGACCAATCGGACCGTTTGATTCTAATCTGCAGGTCAAAGTCTGACTTTCTCTCTGGTCTGTAAACGCATCATCCAGCAGCTCTGATTGTTCTGGTTCTGGTCGGTCTCACCTTGGTCTTATCCAGCCGTCCGTAAACCTGCCAGAAGTACTTGGTGAAAAGCTCGTTGCTGATTGGCCGGCCGTCGATGCGGATCCTCTCCCTCACCTGGACCAGGTGGGGCGAGCTGCAGGAAACAGGAAGTCAGAGCAGAACATCGTCCAATCAGACGCCTACGCTAAACCGAAACGTTAACCTGCTTCACCGAAACCTAAACTGGAAACCAGTCAGACCTGGAGCTGCTGCTCCAGTTTAAACTGGTCTACTGGTTTAAACTGGTTCTGCCACAGCTGTGAACCCAAACGGTTCCGAAGAACCTCTGGAGTCAGAATGAATCCTGGCGGTGGCAGCATCATGCTGTGGGCAGCATGATTCAACATCTGGACCAGTTCTAAACTAATAATGATAGAAAGCAAATAAACTGATAAAAAATAAAATGCTAACTCATAAATTGATCAATTAATCTTTGAAGAACATAAATTTATAAACAACTTGTTAAATAAATAGAAAGATGAACTAAATGATAAAGTAAATATATTGACAAAAAATGCTGAACTAAGTCAATAAATAAATAAATAAGTACATAAATGTATAAATAAAATAAAGTTGTAAATAAACTGTTAAATAAAATTATAGATCAATAAATAGATCAAAAAATACAATTTTAAAATGCAGTAAAAGTTAAATTAAAATGATTTGAAAACAAAATAGTTTTATGGAGTTCTAGTCGGTTCGTTCTGAGCCAGAACTGGAATCACTGGACCGGACTCACCTGTAGAACCCGGTCCGGAAGCCGTAGGTTCTGAGGATCTGCTCTGTGAACGCGCAGGTGGATCCCTGGAAAACAGAGCGGCTGGGGTCAGAGGTCAGAGGTCAAACCTGTGTTCCAGGTGCTTGCTTCAGGTCAGCGTACCGGCCCTTTAAGAGCCTCACCTTGCCCTTGGTCCCTGTAACGTGGATGATGTTGAGGTGATCCAGCTGCTCCACCTGAAAAGCACACAGCGGGTCAGCCTGAAGCAGCAGAGCAGGTTCAGGTTCTGGTTCTGGTTCTGGCGGACCCCCGTGAGCCCGGCCCGCTCCAGGAAGCCCGGCATGGCCAGCAGCTGCTGCTGGGGGTCTCTCTGCCCGCTGCGGGCCTGCTGCACAACGCTGGCGTTGCTCTGCAGCGTGTTCAGGGTCCAGATCGCGTCCTGCGACAGGAAGTAGGTCTGAGGACATCCTGACCCGGAAACACAGGTAGAACCATCGACCCAAACCCAACATGGAGCAGAGCTGAGCCTGAACTAACCCACAGGCTCGGCCACTGGTGGTGGCAGCATCATGCTGGGGGAGGAGGGCTGGAGCTGAACCCTGTTAGCAGCAGAGGCGGTTTAGTTCATCTGACAGATCCTGAAATTTCCCACGCTCATTGAAGGCAGCACTGGCAAAAGCAGCACAGGCTCTGTTAAGCTAGCGCTAGCTGGTCCGGTTGTCTGTCTGGGAGGAGAGACGATAGGCGCACCTGAATCTGTTTTCATGGTAACTCCTCAAAGGTGAGCCGGCTGCAGCATTTCAGGATGAACTTTGTGCCGCATCAAAGCTCAGAGCAGGGAATGAAGCACAACCAGCTGGTTCTGGTGCTGCTGACCAGAAACCCAACCGGTTCTGATCACCATGACGCTCAGAGTTCAAATTAATACCTGTACTTATTAATGTGCGTCAGACCCGCTGTGCTAATTTAGTCGTCATACTGAAAATATTAAACACATTAATGAATATTAATGTTTCTGTAGCTCTGGTTCCCAGCGTCATCTGGACGTCCAGCTGGAACCTCCTGGCTTCACTACAACATTTACGCAACTTAAGATCTTAACAATGATTTCCAGGAAATTGTTCATGAAAGAGAAAATAAACAGTTGAAATAAAAAAGTCTGTTAAAACCAGAAGGAGCCATGTTGTGTAGTTTGTTTACACACATTTATATTCATGTTACATAAAATTGCTCTCACAGGCTGAGTCCAGGAAGGGACCAGTTTTTAGATTTTAAATCATGTTTAAAACGTAAAATATAGAAATAGCAGAGGTCAAACAATTATGCTACATGATTTAAAATGTTTCTGCAGATGGAGCTCAGGGTTTCACTAAATCGAATAAACCTGTTTTCACCTGAAGTTACCAAATCTAAACACCTGAGCAGAATGAACACAGCCAGGTGTTGATGTGACAAAGTGGCCTAGTCAAAGTGCATCTAGTCTGACTGGCAGCAACCGGTTCTGTCGCAGCGCCTCCTTCTACTGATCGGGACCGGGAGTCCACCTGACCAGCTGTACTTTGACCCAGTGGACCGCGGCTCCAGCCGCCTCCATTAGCTCTCTGCTGTTCTCCCAGTACCGCTAACTGGGCCCGTGTTTGTCTCCTCATGCTGGCGCAAAGTTACGGTTCGGTTCCACTTATCAACCTGCCGCTGGCCGAGCTAACGGGCTAGCCGCGCCGCTCCTGCCGCCCTACCTGGTACTCCATTCCGGGGAAGAGAGGAGCCGCCTGGGTGCTGTGGTTCCGGACGGCCCGGCCCGCCAACCTGAACACCGAGTCCCGGTCGCTGCACGAGGCGCGAAACGCCGAGTGCCGCTGCAGCACGCGCAGCAGACACGCCATCATAAGGCCACGACCAAATATGGGCGGGTCCTTTCAGGTGCGTGATGACGTCATGTCACGTCTTTTGTTTATTTCTGGTTGTAAGCGCGTAACAGTCAAAATATGAACCATAAAGTATAACATTTACGTTCAAACTGAACAGATTTACAAAAACAAAAAGCAAATTGAATATAAGAGACATTCTGTGAATGAACTGCGCATTTAAAATGTTTTATTGAGCGAAATTTAATTCCAAAGCTACAACAATGATAAATAAATTAAATAATAAAAAGGAATAAATAAATTACTAAAGAAGGACAATACGTATTCTGCAACTCTAGTTGAAAGTTGGATAATAAATAAAGTATTAAACAATTTGATACCTGGACAAATGTTGATTTAAAAATTGATATAAAAAAGCTTGACAGTTTAGTAAATAAATAATTTTACTAAAATGTGATAAATCGATAAATAAATAACACAATAATAATATATATATATCATTTAAAATTTACATTTTAAATAATAGTGATGGAGAAAATGACAAAAATTGATTAAAATAAATTAAAATATATATAAAAAACAAATTCCTAATGAGATCTGTTAAATAAATCAAAAGAATAAAAATATGCATAAAGTAATGGATGGAATTTCTAAAATTACTTGATTAAACAACAGAATTGTCAATAAGGATAAATGAATTCTTTAAATTAATGGGTTAAATGATTAATGAATAAATTCAACAAATACATAGATAATTAGATTTTTTTAAATCAATGTAACTATTTTTCTGAAACAGTATGCAGAATACTTTAAGAAGCTTTATTCATCATAACCAATTTAAAGGACTAACTTCTTACGATAAAAAAAATTAATTCAAAGCAGTAACAGGAAAAACATATATCTGTAGTTTCAACAGGTTGTAGTTGCAGCCGGTCTCCAGCTGGCGGCAGTAGTGCTCCGGGTTTTTATTTGATCAGCTGCTGGATCAATCCAAAGAAGAGTCACTTCCGGCGCCGAGATGCAGCGAGAGAAAACAAGCAACGCCACCGCGGCTGAAAAGTAAGAATTTCTCTCATTTTCTCTCAATAATGCTCTCCAGTTATTTACCTGGCTCGTCAATGGAGCTGTTTTTATCGCGCCCAGCTCTCTGTTCTCCAGATGAAGGTGAAAAACGGCTTTTATTTCCCTCCGCAGGCCCGACCGTGAGGCCGCCATCATGTCCAAATACTACGACGGAGTGGAGTTCCCGTTCTGCGACGAGTTCTCCAAGTATGAGAAGATGGCCAAGATCGGACAGGGAACCTTTGGGTGAGGAACACGATCAGCTTCTCCTTGTTGGCTTCAGAAAATGATTGGAATTAGCTTCCGAACCAGAACCTGAAGGCCCGCTTCCGCTGTTTTAGGTGTTATAGACCTGAGCTAACTCGGTTTGAACTTAGCCAGTATTTTTAAAGTGCGTTTCTGATCAGTTAAACCTTCAAAAACAGAAAATCCTGGTTGAATCAAACCTACAACCACAGAGAGAATTGCTACTTTCACTGTAATAAAAGTTAGAGTTAGAACATCAGATCTAGCTCAGGCCACAGATTCTCCATTTTTAACAGATGTATTTGTAAACATTTTAGTTCATATAAAACTCATCCATACATCAGGTGAGCTGTGTTCGTATTTTCCTAGAGGTTCTGTCGGACCTTCCTGTAGCGAACGCAGTCAAGCATTTTCTTTATGTATATTTTGGGAAATACTGTTTGATTTGGTTAATAACGTTATCTGACCACTTCAGCAATTACGTCATCACTTGGTCACGTGATGCTTTCGATAAAGGGCTGTAAGTTTCGTTTCATACTCAGTTGGGTTTTGCAAGCGGTAATAGGAAAGACAAAGAACTGAAATTTGGAAGAAATGGACTTTTAGCAACTCCTAACCTTCTGGTTGGAGGGCATACGTGTTCACTATAGCTGCTCCCAACTTTTTCCACTGGTTGATGAAGATGCAACGCTCCGACTGATGGTTCCAAACGTTTATTAAAGGAATTTTCTGTCACATAAACGCCCAAGACCACCGTGAACACTGCAATAAAATACACAGTGGCAAATATACATCAGTTAAACCGTCATGTTCTCTTATATATAAATTGTTCAAATGAAACTTATTACACATATACAAACACAAGAATATTCCATTCAATTGTCCATACCGTATGCCCTCCAACCAGAAGGTTAGGAGTTGCTAGAAGTCCATTTCTTCCAAATTTCAGTTCTTTGTCTTTCCTATTACCGCTTGCAAAACCCAACTGAGTATGAAACGAAACTTACAGCCCTTTATCGAAAGCATCACGTGACCAAGTGATGACGTAATTGCTGAAGTGGTCAGATAACGTTATTAACCAAATCAAACAGTATTTCCCAAAATATACATAAAGAAAATGCTTGACTGCGTTCGCTACACTTCCGGTCCGGTCTCAGGACGATCTGTGATCGTTTGCTTCTCACTGACAGGGAAGTGTTCAAGGCCAAGCACCGGCAGACCGGGAAGAAGGTCGCTCTGAAGAAAGTTCTGATGGAGAACGAGAAGGAAGGGGTAAGAAACTGGACTCTGACCCGAGTCCCACTGGGTTCTACTGACCTGAAATGAGTTCTGACCTGAAATGAGTTCTGACCTGAAATGAGTTCTGACCTGGTTCCTCCAGTTCCCCATCACGGCTCTGAGGGAGATCAAGATCCTGCAGCTGCTGAAGCATGAGAACGTAGTGAACCTGATCGAGATCTGCAGAACCAAAGGTTGGTCCTCCAGGTATGGTACCGGCCCGACCTACTTTCAGAGCTCTCACGGTTCCTTGTGTTTTGCCCAGCTACCCAGTTCAACCGCTACAAGGGCTCCATCTACCTGGTGTTTGACTTCTGCGAACATGACCTGGCCGGCCTGCTGAGCAACGCCAACGTCAAGTTCACCCTGGCCGAGATCAAGAAGGTGATGCAGATGCTGCTCAACGGCCTCTACTACATCCACCGAAACAAGGTGAGCCCGATCCGGTTCTGCTCTGCTTTTGCTTCTGTGTCTGACGTCTGCTAACGTTCCAGTTCTGCCTCAGATTCTGCACAGAGACATGAAGGCGGCCAACGTCCTGATCACCAGAGACGGAGTCCTGAAGCTGGCCGACTTTGGCCTGGCCCGGGCCTTCAGCCTGGCCAAGAACAGCCAGGGGAACCGCTACACCAACCGGGTCGTCACGCTGTGGTACCGACCGCCAGAGCTGCTGCTGGGTGAGAAACCACATGCTGGTTCTGGTTCCTAATAATTTCGGCATCTGACCTCCACACAGAAATGTTTATTGTTGTGGTGGAAAACTGGATTAAATGCCAGGTTTTGATGTATTGAGTGTATAGAAACAGCAGGGGGAGCAGTTTCTGCATTTTGGTCATTAGTCCAGCAGGGGGAGCTGTGTTTGCTGACTCTGGCTCTTTCCCCTCCAGGCGAGCGGGACTACGGGCCGCCCATCGACCTGTGGGGGGCGGGCTGCATCATGGCGGAGATGTGGACCCGCAGCCCCATCATGCAGGGCAACACGGAGCAGCACCAGCTGACCCTCATCAGCCAGCTGTGCGGCTCCATCACGGCTGAGGCCTGGCCCGCCGTGGACAAGAAGTACGAGCTGTACCAGAAGATGGAGCTGCCCAAGGGCCAGAAGAGGAAGGTCAAGGATCGGCTAAAGGCCTACGTCAAGGACCCGTACGCCCTGGACCTGATCGACAAGCTGCTGGTTCTGGACCCGGCCCAGCGGGTCGCAGCGACGACGCCCTCAATCACGACTTCTTCTGGTCCGACCCCATGCCGTCCGACCTCAAGAACATGCTGTCCACGCACAACACGTCCATGTTCGAGTACCTGGCCCCGCCCCGGCGCAGGGGCCACATGCCGCAGCAGCAGCCCAACCAGAACCGGAACCCGGCCACCACCAGCCAGACCGAGTTCGACCGGGTCTTCTAGCCAGATCCAGAGAAACGCTCTGAATGACATTTCCTGCAGGATCGTCCTGCTTGTTACGTCAGGACATTTGGGTCGACCCGGAGTCCTATTGATGTTTGGGTTGACCCGGTTCTGGACCAGTTTTGAGCTAGTGCTGGACCGGTCCGACAGCCACGCTCCGTGAAAAGGCGTTCAGTTTTAACGATCCAGATCTGTACAGAAGGGCTCTTGGTTCTGATCAGTTCCAGCTGGACCCGCCTCAAGTTATTTATAGGAATGAGTTCTGAGCGGTCCGCTGGGCCGGAACCACACACTAATAAAATGTGTTTTTCATAAACTCGATTGTTATTTTGTTTGAGGAACCAAAGAAGAACATTCTGGACCTGAACCGGGTCTATGATGCTGCAATAGCGCCGCCTGGCCACTAGATGGCAGCAGACAACTTTAGGAAACAATCAAAAATTAATGTTCATGTATTTTAGCGGTTTGATGACATTAAATACAGTTGTGGGCAGGGACACAGATTAAACTTTAAAATACTGCCTCCTCGACTCAATGAAATAAGATCATGGTAGATTCACTGCTCTTAAAGGTAAAATGTGACTCAAATGTTGAAATGTGAAGAACAAATCACAAATGCTGCAAACTATCCACCAGTTCAATGGCAGCATTACTTAATACTCATTTTCGCTCTTTACATCACGCTGTTCAGCGGCCCAGCCGCCATGACACCGGAAGTCAAAACAAGCTGTGCGCCTCAACTTTAAAATGCTTATCGATAAACGGCTTTCGCCCAATATGGCTTGTATTTGGAGATTTCAGTGTAGAAATGGTCTGAGTTCTGTGGGTCGGAAAACCAAACGTCAATTTTTGTAAACATTTCGATGAGGAAAGAAGATGGCGCTGAACGCAGCCTCAGCCGCCTGGCGGCCCGCCGGTTTTCACGGCTTCGCAGCCAACAGCAAGGTAAGAAGATTAGCGTTCATAAACCAAACTGGTGGGAGCAGTTAGTACACCCAAATACTGCTTCAGGAAAAAGGTATTTCTCCATGTGAGAAGGGAAATATGTCTGTAAATAATTAGCGGCCGAAATAGAAACATTAATATCGTTAGCTGCTCTAATAGTGTGGTTGGCGGTCCAACTTTATTTAGGCCGTTGCTGTTCACCATTAAGACCAGCAATGGCAGCATCCTGGGTCCAGCTAGTGAGCTAACCGGGTCCAGCTAGTGAGCTAACTGGGTCCAGCTAGTGAGCTAACCGGGTCCAGCTAGTGAGCTAACTGGGTCCAGCTAAAGAGCTAACCAGGTCCAGCTAGTGAGCTAACCGGGTCCAGCTAAAGAGCTAACTGGGTCCAGCTAAAGAGCTAACCGGGTCCAGCTAGCGAGCTAACTGGGTCCAGCTAGTGAGCTTACCGGGTTCAGCTAGTGAGCTAACTGGGTCCAGCTAAAGAGCTAACCAGGTCCAGCTAGTGAGCTAACCGGGTCCAGCTAAAGAGCTAACTGGGTCCAGCTAAAGAGCTAACCGGGTCCAGCTAGCGAGCTAAACTGGGTCCAGCTAGTGAGCTAACCGGGTTCAGCTAGTGAGCTAACTGGGTCCAGCTAAAGAGCTAACCAGGTCCAGCTAGCGAGCTAACCGGGTCCAGCTAGTGGGTCCAGCTGGTGAGCTAACCGGGTCCAGCTAGTGAGCTAACTGGGTCCAGCTAAAGAGCTAACCAGGTCCAGCTAGTGAGGTAACCAGGTCCAGCTAGTGAGGTAACCGGGTCCAGCTAGTGAAACTAACTGGGTCCAGCTAAAGAGCTAACCGGGTCCAGCTAGTGAGCTAACCGGGTCCAGCTAGTGAGCTAACTGGGTCCAGCTAAAGAGCTAACCAGGTCCAGCTAAAGAGCTAACCGGGTCCAGCTAGTGAGCTAACTGGGTCCAGCTAAAGAGCTAACTGTTAGCCCGCTGCTATGACAGTTGCTGGTTTATAGCAGTGAACCAGTAGACGAGTTCAACTGAGTAGAAACATTTGTCTAAGTATTTTAATACCTGCTGAAAGTCTTTTATTCTGCTGACCCAGTTGTTTAATAAAAATAATCGCTTTGGCAACAGTTGACCTGACCCTCAGTCCAACAGCTGGACTTCTCTCTCAGAAAGTTTCCTTCTGGAACTTGCGACCGTTTTCCTGACGGCAGGATTCCTCCCCTGCAGATGGGACGTCTCCGTACCTGAGCTTCTCCTCCCTCCATCGCCGCGTGTCCCCGGATGATGGATTGCTGTTTTAGTTCCAGAGAGGCTCGGCTGTCAGTCCGGCTGAAGAGGAGGCAGCGTGTGCGCCGACAGGGTGACAACAACAAGCAGCAGAAATTAGAAAGCAATCCAACGGACAGATGGGCCTGTGAGCCGCAGCCACCTGCATGCTAATGGACCTGCAGCTCACACTGCGGCCGCTGGCGGTCCGGATGGGAGGAACGTCTCTGCAGAACCAAATGGACTCAACTCACCGAAGCTCACTGTGTTGGAGGTGATTTTACCTTCTGCAAACAGAGAACATAAAACCACGTCGGCACGACGTCCCACAGACCTGGAGAGGAAACAGACTCAAAGCAGGTCCAAACATTCAGGTTTCAGAATCTGAATTAAGTTTCAAATTCAAACCAAAGAAGGAAACTCTTCTTCTGTGGTTTCATGTAAACAAAGCAAACGTTCTACAGTCTGGATCCAAAAACATTTATTTCCATTAGTTTGTTAATTGAAGGTTTTTATTTTCATTCTGTTTGCAGCATCTTTTCTGTTGCATTGTTTCTGTTTTGCATCATTCATTGGGATATTTTCGTCTGTCAGCCACTCTGGGATACAGATGCATGCCACACTTTTCAGATTACCTTGATGCAAACATCAGCGTGAGCTGAGCTGGGTGTCGTGTTGCTCTTTCCAGCTTGTTGTGTTTCTGCTGCTTCTCCAGGTGTTTGCAGACAAACTTTCTGGATTTTCTTCTTCTGCATTTGGAAAGCTGCGGGGCAGAGGCAGCCGGCGAGGCCGAAGAATCCTCCTCCTCTTCACCTCCAGCCAGCGGCGTTGTGTGTGTGTGTGTGTGTGTGTGTGTGTGTGTGTGTAAGTGTGTGTGTGTGTGTAAGTGTGTGTGTGTGTGTAAGTGTGTGAGCGGGCCCGTCAGTCAGCGAGGCGGCCATCTGCGTGCCTGCGTGAGGCGGGAGCCAGCTGCAGGCGGCCGCTGCCAGCAGACATTAGGGAAGCAGCAGGGTGTCATTAAGGCGCCTCCATGATTGATTAACCGTAAACCTGCAGCAGGGGAGTCCCGCCTCTCACACACACACACACACACACACACACACACACACACACACACACCACACACACACACAGAGCGGGAGGGAGCCCCCTGCTGATCTGACAGTGTAACTGCATTAGCCGCCCAGTAGGCGCAGGAAGAGCGAGCGCAGTCAGGGTCCATCAGGACATTAGGAGCGCAGCAGCAGCAGCAGCAGCAGCAGCAGCAGCCGGCGGCGGCAGGCGATGCTGCTGGCTGGCGGCTCGGCCCAACCGCTCCAACAGAACCACAGGACCAGTTTCAGCAGAAAATCACAAGAGCAGAGCAAACAACCAGGAAACAACCAGACTGTAGAGACGAAAAAAACTTTATTTATGAAGATGGAAACAGACTGAAGCTCCGCTTCGGTTCCAGAGACATTTCCATCTGCTGGAGGAATCTCAGGATGAATATTTCTGCTCTTCTCTGAGGACTGAAGCTTGTGGCTGCTCTGCCTTACGGTGGCTGACGATGCTAACAGCAGGAAACGGATAAAAATGTTGCAAAAACATGTATGATGGAAATGGCAACACTCACAAACGCTCCCCTAGTGTCTGGAGGACTTCAGCGGTGGAGCGAGTTCAGCGGTTTACGCTGGAAGTTTTTGGTATTTGAGTTTGTCTTGAAGTTTCCGTTTTTCATGGGTAACTTCCCACCTCCAGTTCCTCCACTGAAAGAAGAATAAACACGTTTAACTATAAATGGATCACAAACATTTATAGTTAAAATAAATGTCCGGTTTTTACAGCAGCCTTGTTGCAGGAGATCAGTTGATTGGATCTTTTCTGTTAGAAGAGAATTATTTTCATAAAATGACCAATTTTCTTAGAAAACTGATCACTTCAGGTTATTTGTGATGTAATAACATCAGTGTTTGAACTGGACCTGCTGTAATGAGACACATAATAACCTCTATTGTCTTTTATTAATCTCCTCTCAGGATTCATTTCTCATCTTCTCACTGACAAACTCAATAATCTGAGCAGATTATCGGCTCCAGACTCTGAGGATGGACTCATGTCAGAATATGAGGCGAGTTGAACATAACCCAGAGGTGATGATGATGATGATGATGATGATGATGATGATGATGATGATGGCTGGTGTTAGCATGCGGCTGCGCTCAGCCTCCCGCTGCTCTGATGAAACATTCAGACGAGACGCATCCATCAGGCGGAGCCGTCACGGCGCCGCGTGTCGGATCGCTCCCAGGAATCCGGTTTAACGCGGCGCCGCGATTTCCTGCGCAGCTTAATGACCCGTTTCCTGCCGCAGGCTGGAGGACCGGGGGCTCACGGAGCGCCCGGCGTGACCCCACACGCTCTGCTCAACACAAACACAGGAGCATTACAGTCTGGGGAAGCCTTGAAACAGTAAAATATTGATCCATCAGTTATCAGTCGCTGATAAACTGTGTTTCCACGAGGACCTACTGTAACGATGCATCTGCAGAAAAGACGTTAGTAATTATTAGACTATATTTCATCTCAAAGACATTGAATATGATCAGAAGAATAATGTCACTGGGCTCTGGTTAGCATTGCTAACCAGAAAGTTAGCACTGCTAACCATAAAGCACTAATTATCCCAGTTAGCTATGCCAATGTGGTAATTAGGGGTTGCTAATGCTAAAGTGCTACACTAACAAAATTTAAAGAAAGTTGACATTAAAGCACTAAACCTTCATAGTAATTAGCTAAATCTATTGCTAAAGTGTTGTACCAGTGCAGTATTTAGATAAAGCTAATGCTAAAGGGCTTAGTTACAGCATGATGTTGCCCTCGATCAGGTCATGAAACGATTCATATTTCATGTATTTTATAAATTAACACCCTGATTTTAGAATTTATCAAGAAAAGTTTTTTTAGGGTAAGCTAAGTGTCAAACATGTTTTTAAAGTTATCAAGGCGCTAAGCTAAAAATGAGTAGAAATGCAGACATCACTTTAACTGGAACAAAGTGTAACTATAATCATTTCAGTGTTTTCAGACGTTCTCCAGTTAAATTAGTTTCATTTCAATCTTTACCTAAATAAATGAAGTTTGATTACAGTTAAATAAAAAAGAGAATAAAATGTTACCTTACTACCCAGATTAATGCAATAATTTTACCTTATTAAGACTTTTAGCCACTTCCATTCACTGCCTCTATAAATAGCTGATTTCATTTAGAAAATCCAAGATGGCCACCGCTCTGGTTTTAGTCTTTGACTTTATTGATCCAAACAGGTTGAAACTGGTCTGATCCATTAGCTTAGCTCCATGCTAACGGCCACATTCAGACATGATTTCATCCTCTCACCATATTCACATGTTTACATTTTCTCCTCCTTGTCTGATGACCTTTGACCCCAGCGGTGGAGATGATGGACATGTAAAGATGAAGATAAGACGCTGACCTTTACAGGATAAGAGCAGCGTTTGTTTTGCTGACCTCTGGTTTGGTCCCTGGTTGGGAAACATTCACCAGCTGAATGCTGAGCGGCTCCTCCGGGTCGGTTCTGCTGCCGGTTCTGATCCGGTTCTGCTGCGGCCCGGCTCGACTGATAAACATCTGCTCTGACATTTTCCTGCTTTCACAGGAAACATGAGATACGTTTGTGTTTCTCACGGCAGTTGGAGGACAGAAGGACCAATTAGGTCTGATCCTGATGACATCATCAGGCGATTTCATGAAGCTCCGTCCTGATTGGCCGTCTGGGAGGAAAAACTAATTCTCTGATCGTGGCGTCATGGAAACATTTAGATCCACACTTCGACTATTTAAACGATTGTTTCCAACCAGGAAGAGTTAAAAATCATTTTCATTTAAAGTACTTTAGTCAAAATGCTGCTGATTATATTCAGGATGAGGTCTGGACTTTGACTAGGCCATTGCAGCACTTTGACTCTTCTCTTTTTCAGTCATTGCGTCTTGTTAGTATGGCGGCTTATTAAGATCCGGTCTGGACCAAAGGTCAACATGGGACACATGAACTTCTGAGTTCCAAATTATTGTGAGGAAGGTCTTGCCATACTCAGTTCTTTTATAGGTGTATAATGTTAGAAATGTCTTGCCATACTCGGTTCATGTTTTCAGGTTTTTGTTATTGTTATAAATGTTTTGCTTCATTCAGTTTATTGTACTTGATTATAGTTATAAATGTCTTGCCATATCCAGTTAATTTCTTGTTGTACATTATTGCTCTAAATGTCTTGCCGTATCCTGTTCCTCCTCGTTTCTCTGTGATTAATTTTGTCGAGATTCACAAACTGATATAAAAATAAAAGTGACTCATCATATTTTCGGTTATGATGACTCATAACAGACTCGGTTCTGTTTGGTTCTTTCAGTCCAAATATCATCATCGTCACAGGGTTACGTCGAGGCCGTAATGACATTATTCCCGCCTGCAGGTGGCGCTGCTGAGCCAGAGGACCTCAGAGTTTCCAGCTGTAATCACTCCGAACCCGAAAACGGGCCGGGACGTTTCCGAACCGCTGCAGCTGAGCAGAACCTCATCTGCTCGGCCAGCTGCTTCCTCCTGACGCCTCGCTGCCGTTTGACTCACATTACATCAAATTAAAGTGCGTCATCACAGCCAGCGGAGAACTTTATTTACCCAACAGATGGCGGCTTCATCCCGCCGAAAAGCGGCTCCGCAGGTTCCGCTCCACCACCGGCGCGCGTTTATCTAGAGGTCAGAGCGGAAACTCTAGAGGTCAGAGCGGAAACTCTAGAGGTCAGAGCAGAAACTCCAGAGGTCAGAGCAGAAACTCCAGAGGTCAGAGCAGAAACTCTAGAGGTCAGAGCAGAAACTCTAGAGGTCAGAGCAGAAACTCCAGAGGTCAGAGCAGAAACTCCAGAGGTCAGAGCAGAAACTCTAGAGGTCAGAGCAGAAACTCTAGAGGTCAGAGCGGAAACTCCAGAGGTCAGAGCAGAAACTCCAGAGGTCAGAGCAGAAACTCTAGAGGTCAGAGCAGAAACTCTAGAGGTCAGAGCAGAAACTCCAGAGGTCAGAGCAGAAACTCTAGAGGTCAGAGCAGAAACTCTAGAGGTCAGAGCGGAAACTCTAGAGGTCAGAGCAGAAACTCCAGAGGTCAGAGCAGAAACTCTAGAGGTCAGAGCGGAAACTCTAGAGGTCAGAGCAGAAACTCTAGAGGTCAGAGCGGAAACTCTAGAGGTCAGAGCAGAAACTCTAGAGGTCAGAGCGGAAACTCTAGAGGTCAGAGCAGAAACTCGAGAGGTCAGAGCGGAAACTCTAGAGGTCAGAGCAGAAACTCCAGAGGTCAGAGCAGAAACTCCAGAGGTCAGAGCAGAAACTCTAGAGGTCAGAGCAGAAACTCTAGAGGTCAGAGCAGAAACTCCAGAGGTCAGAGCAGAAACTCTAGAGGTCAGAGCAGAAACTCTAGAGGTCAGAGCAGAAACTCCAGAGGTCAGAGCAGAAACTCTAGAGGTCAGAGCAGAAACTCTAGAGGTCACAGCAGAAACTCTAGAGGTCAGAGCAGAAACTCTAGAGGTCAGAGCAGAAACTCCAGAGGTCAGAGCAGAAACTCTAGAGGTCAGAGCAGAAACTCTAGAGGTCAGAGCAGAAACTCTAGAGGTCAGAGCAGAAACTCGAGAGGTCAGAGCAGAAACTCTAGAGGTCAGAGCAGAAACTCTAGAGGTCAGAGCAGAAACTCTAGAGGTCAGAGCCAGGCTTCAGTCAGCAGGATCCTCTGCGGCGACTGGAGGAACAAAATAACTACAGCAGCCAGAAAAAATTAGAAATGCTGGATTAGTTTCAAAATTAAAAAAAAAAAAATCTGAGCTGGAAAAGTGAAAATTTTGTTCAAAAAACTAATTTGAATAATTTTTCAAAAATAATCTGAGTTTGAAAAGTAAAAAAAAATGTCAAAAAAAACAAACTCAGTGATTTTGAGACTAAACTGAAATTTTCAAGAAAAAATCTTGGAAGTTTCTAAAAAATAATTTTTTTGAGAAAAAGGCAATAACTGACATTAATGTCAGATGTTTTTTACTTGGAAACTTTTTACAGAAAAAACTTCTAATGTTTAATTTTTTCTTTTGAAACATAGAAAATGTCAAGGCTTGAATTAAATCTAACATCTATGAAGGTTTTTATTTGACTTTTTAAGCTCAGAATTTTCCTGTTTTTCTGAGATGAATTTGAATTCATGGTGTCCGTCTTGGCGGCGGCGGCGGCCCTCAGGGCTGAGTGTCGGTGAATCGGGGTTTTGTGGATCTAGAGGGAAAGTTTTTACGCTGTGGGATGAAAAGCTGCTCCAGGAAACGCGAAGCTCAGCTGCTTCCTGTTTTCCCTCCAGTGAATGAACTCTTTGTGGCCGAAGCCTCCGGACCTGTATGTGTGTGTGTGTGTGTGTGTATGTGTGTGTGTGTGTGTGTGTGTGTGTGTGGTGTGTGTGTGTGTGTGTGTGTGTGTGTGTGTGTGTGTGTGTGTGTGTGTGTGTGTGTGTGGGCTGAGATAAAGACGGAGGAGTGGAAATAGTGAAGGTTCCTGATTATCTCCTGTTTGGTTTTGCGGGTCGGGTCCAATCAGACGGTGGTTCTGGACGGCCGGCCCAGAAATCCTCCTCTCTTCCTCTCACACAGAAACTCTTGTGTCTGCAGACGGAAACTTCTTCCTGCCGATTTGCTGCTTCAGCCTGGATCATAAACACCAGCCTGTCTGGACCGCTGGGGCCCCTGGGGGCCCGGTTCTGGTCGCCATGCGGCCAAGCTTCACTTCTTCAGACCCGTTAGACTCACCAGTGATCAGCAGGTTGGACATGAATCATTGTTATGGAAAATTATAAATGTATTTCCTTCAGTTTCTTTCAGTCACCAGGGCATCATGAGAGCGGGGCGGCATGAGAGCGGGGCGGCGAACCCAAAATCTATAAAATCTATAAATATTGTTGATTTACTGTTTACATGCAGAGAACCAAACGATCAAACAAGATGATCAAAACATTTATAGAAATGACATCATCAGATGGACCAAAATAGAAAATTATCTGGTAATTTGAATGAGGACCAAAATAAAAATAATTCATATAATAACATTTTTCCAAATCAATTATTTCAATGTAAAACTTATGAAACATATCTGTGTTTTGTTTTTGGTTTTACTCAAGTTAACTAGTAACTAGTAACTTTCTGCTGCAGAAACAGTTCAGATCGTTTCCTGCATCCTGATTGGTCAGGCGGTGGTAGAAGGAGGGGCTTCTGTTTAAAAGAACCCGGATCAAATAGTTTATAAATAAATAATATCCTTATTTTAACTTTAAATGTTTCCAACATGACGACCCGAGTTCTGAGGATCTGGTGTAAGAAAACTACACACTTCCTGCTTCCTGTTGTGACATCACAGAGACCAGAACCATCAGCCAGAGACGAGCCGGTTCTGGTTTGAAACGTGTGAATGAATCCTGGAGGAAACGCTGAAGGATCTGCAAAAAATGAAATGAATCGTTCAGCCTGTAATGAATCGTTCAGCCTGTAATGAATCGTTCAGCCTGTAGTGCCGCTCTGAGAGGATGAAGTCACGATTCCAAATTCAACCAATAATTGTTGAATAGTGACTAAAAAAGAAAAGACTGTTGGAAGTTTTTTGATCTGCAGTAAAAATAATATCTGGTTTCTGCTGCTTCCAGTTCATTAAACATCGAATGTTCATTAGAGAAGCTTCTGGAGGTCTGGAGGTCTGGAGGTCTGAAGGTCTGGAGGTCTGGAGGTCTGGAGGTCTGAAGGTCTGGAGGTCTGGAGGTCTGGAGATCTGAAGGTCTGGAGGTCTGGAGATCTGAAGGTCTGGAGGTCTGGAGGTCTGGAGATCTGAAGGTCTGGAGGTCTGGAGATCTGAAGGTCTGGAGGTCTGAAGGTCTGGAGGTCTGGAGGTCTGAAGGTCTGGAGGTCTGGAGATCTGGAGGTCTGAAGGTCTGGAGGTCTGAAGGTCTGAAGGTCTGGAGGTTTGGAGGTCTGACCCGAGGCGGCTCTTTGGTCCTCAGGTGTTTCTGGATCTTTGATCTGCTGCAGATTTGACCCCTCAGACTCATTCAGCAGATTATTCCAGAGATCGTCTGCGGCTCGTTTCTAGACTCTGCGGCTCGTTTCTGGACTCTGCGGCTCGTTTCTGGACTCTGCGGCTCTCTGCTGCACCAGGTGCAGCATCTGCGTCAACAAATGGCTGCGCGTTATTCTCAGCTCATTAAAACATTCCCCAAAGCGCCGCCGTAAATCGCCCCGGGCTGCGTGTTTGGATGTCTAATTAGGCGGCGCCGCGGCCCGGCCCTGGCTTGTGTGTCACTTTAATGAGGCAATTAGACATATTAGGGATTTTGTATCTGGACTGTCGGAGGTTTTCAGGGAAGTGGAGGGCAGAGAAAGGACAGAGGTGTTGGGTTGCAGAGAAACAGCATCACAGGGAAAGTCTTGACTATGGAGCAGACTCACAAAAGCTGGGAAAACTTTGTCTGTTTTCATGCTAATGCGGAGCTAATTCCTAGCTTAGCGCTTTAGAGCTTTTGCTAACTTGCAGTTTGCAGAGAAAACATGACAAAGCAATAAATATCTGATTAGCAGGCTAAATATTTTGTTTAGAAACTAAATGTTTAACTTGGAAATATTTGTCTCTAAGCCGATGTTAAGCTAACTCTGAGCTAGCTTAATATTTAGCACCAAGCTAGCTAAATCTTGAATTTGGAAATTACATATTTATCAAATTAATATTTTACAAGCTTGGAGAAAAACAAAATGACAGAACTAAATATTTAGTTACGAGCTAAATAGTTAGCTTTAAACTGATCTTAGTGAAAGCATCTCATTATTTTCCATATTGTGTAAATTCTGATGTTTGGTTCTGAACCAGCTTTGTGGTTCTGTTGAACTCGCTGGCATTAATCTGCACTTTTCTCTGTGACTCACTGCGAGAGTCAAGAGCTGCAAATTGCATCTGTTCCTAATTAAAGAGTGTTAATGAAAGCCCGTTCTCCTGGTGGGCCCGGTGGGCCCGCTGCCGCCCGGCCCGCCATGACGCTCCGGAGGAGGAAGAGGAGGAAGAGGAGCTGGTCCGGCTCAGCGGCTGAAGGTCGGCTGGTCGACCGCATGTTGCTTCGGTTCCAGCAGCCTGCAGCAACTGCAACATTCAGAGCAACCAAGAGTTAAACTGATCAATCTGGACAGAAACTATGAAAAGTTGTGATTTCTGATATTTGGAATTTTACAAAATCTCCAGAGATTTTATCTTTTTCTTTCTATAATGACTTTAATAAGCCGCCATACTAACAAGTAAAGTCATTAAGAATTGTGCAAATGTACAAACGTAAAAATTAGATTTTAATTCTGTATTGAAATTAAAATTTAATAACATAAATCTGCTGCTTCCTAAAACATGACGTGTGGCGATTGACTCCCCCTGGTGGCCTGGAGGCTAACGTGACGTTTTGTGTTTTATTCTTGTTTTTATTTCCTGCAGTTGGAACATTTTTGTTTGTTTGAATTATTTAGTTAGCATCACTCAGGTTTTAGGCCCTGCAGGCCACCGTACTCTAAACAGAGAACTGTTCATGTCCTCTGATCCAGATCCAGACAGGAACCGGTTCTCCAAAACCAGAGCAGCAGAGGGGTTCTGCTGGTCGGGTCGGACCGGACCGGGTCGGATCGGACCGGGTCGGACCGGACCGGGTCGGACCGGACTGTTGGCTCTGGGCCCCAGAACAAACTCCAGCAGGGATTCTTGATGTTTCAGTCATTTTCAACTTTAATGAGACGGATGGAGCCGGTCGCTGTGTGTGAGTATGTGTGTGTGTGTGTGTGTGTGTGTGTGTGTGTGTGTGTGTGTGTGTGTGTGTGTGTGTGTGTGTGTGTGTGGAGATGCTGCCAGCACTACAGGACTTTTTAATTACAACTCCACGTCCCGGCCTGCTGACGTCTGGGGAACCGCTTAATTAAAATCCTCATTATTTTACTTTTAATTAGTTCCCCTCCTTTGTTTCTCTCTCCATATGGCTGCGCTCTCCGGTCAGATCAGCTTAATTGAGCTAATTAAGTTGATCAGTTGAATTATTCAAAGTGTTCTGATTGGATGGTGGAGTTACTGATTCAGACTTTTTATGATTCCCAGTGGATCCATTCAACCCGACAGAACCAGAACCAGACGGTTCTGTTCGGAAACATGGACCGATGGATCCTTTAAATCCAGAACTGTTTCACTCCAACACAATATGAATTTATCATTTATTTATTTAGGATTCATTACTTTCTGATATTAGTTTTAGACTAAATATTTAGGTACCTAATATGAAGTTAGCATGTTAACTAACTAGCTGTAAATTAAATATTTTTAAGCACTCTGTTTGAAGCTAAATATTTAGCTAGCATGCTAAATATCTAACTTCAAAAAGCATGCTAACGAAATGTTAGCAAAGTTAATATTAACCAGCTAAGTTAGTGTTAACTAACATGACTAAATACAGTTTAGTAGATTTAGTTTACTAATCATGTTTTTAGCAATTAAAGTTATGAGTTTGAAGTTAAATAATTGGTATGCTAAATATTTAGTGACCAATCTAAGTACTTTGAGGTTAAATATTTAGTTAGCATCCTAAGTGTCGCTAATTGTTAAACATTAAGTTAGCATGCTAGCTGAATCATTCCTTCAGTTCTTTTAAAGCAGTTTTCTGGGTGAAACTTTGACTCTTTATCCAGGAAGTGACACTGATTTCTACAGATGCAGTTTAAATCATTTCTTGTTGAGGCAGCAGAGAGACGAAGAATCACCCAGAAACCGGATCGGATGTGTTTGGTAGTTCAGAACCGCTCTGAGCGCTCTGCTCTCCGCGCTCCACCTGGTGACCTGAAGGCAACGCCAGGCCATGACACATGTTGGCCTCAGGAGAAGCAGAAGACAAATTCATTACAGCATGCTAATCGATTTAGCCGCAGCATGCTAATCAGTTTAGCTGCAGCATGCTAATCAGTTTAGCTGCAGCGATCTTCATGTGTTGGTTTTGACGGCGGGGGTCTGCCGCCTAACGGACCGCCTCGTCTCCCGCAGCTCAGAAATAATTAGCAGCAAAGCGAAGCCATGCAGAGGAAAGGTCAAAGGTTAAAATATAGAGACACAGAGGATTTGTTTTTCTCTCTATAAAAATCTTTTTTTTTTTTTTGTGGGTTGTCAATAGAAACTTCCTGAAGCTGCTGGAGAAAAGGAGCAAAGAGCAACATCCTGCAGAAGAACAAGAAACATCTGGAAATAAATACGATGTATATGTGAACTCAAAGTCAATAAAAACAAAAATTATCATAGGAACTACAGATCTAAAGCCTGATCTGAAGTTTTATTATACGATAAATCAGCACAAATATCGGAATCAGTCCAATAAATAAAACTGGATCCAGTGATGCAGCAAAGAATTGTGGGACGTTTAAGTCGAACAGCGGTGACCTCGGCGTTCAGTGAAATATATTTATAATGTCTGTAGATATCGGTTTTATTCATTTCTGAAATATTTTTCTGCTTTTTGTTAGTTTTGAATCACGTAGAAAATAAAATCTGAATTTCAGAGTTTGGTGATTTATTCAGATGTTTTACTGCAGTAAATTCCACGTTGCAGCTTCACGATCTGATGATGTAACAGTTCAATAAAACTAAATATTTTCGTTTCAGTAGGAAACAAAACTGAGTTATTCTGCAGATTTTCCCTTTAAAAAAAAACAACTTGTCAAATGTTAATAATACAAACAAAACTGTGATAAATATTGAAAGATGAATATAAGTTAAGATTTCAGTTTGTTTTTAATCTTTTTGCTCCAGTTAAAATTAAAAACTTTCCGTCTCTATCGGCTCCTTCTGCTGGGGCCGCAAACGGCCCCCGAGCCACACTTTGGACACCGCTGGTTCTGAGCAGCAGATACAAATAATTTTGCTTAAATAACAGAAGATTCATGTCAGATATTTCAGTGAAAATCATTTTATTTTCAGGATTTTTTGTTTTTAATGAAGCTTTTTGACAAATTTGCATAAAAAATGAAACCAGATGAACAGGAAGTTCCTCCTGCGGCGGAGGAGGAATCATGATGCGGGCTTGACTTTCAGTCACTTGACCCGCGTCTTCCAGCCTCTGATTGGTCCAGGATGCGTCCAATCAGAGTTCATCAGCTGGAGCTGCAGTGGCCTAGTCAAAGTTCAAACCTCAGGTTTTCATCATTTCCTGGTAAACCTCGGAGGACTTCCTGTTGCGTCCCAAATAAACTTTATTTACAAGAAGAAGAGCGTCCACTGCTGACCGGACCGAACCGAACCAGCTGTCCGGTTCACTGGGCTCCTTCAGGAGGACGAAGATGATGACGAAGGACGGCAACAGACGGGGAGGAAGAAGAAGAAGAAGCAGAAGAAGAAGAATCAGAAGAAGAAGAAGAAGAAGAAGGCACGTCTGGCTCCATCATCTTCCTCAGCAAACCTGGAACAAGAAACACCGACATGTTGGAGGATTTCTGCTCTTATCTACTTCCATACAGCAGTTATGCTCCGTAACCATGGCAACAAGGAGTTGGGAGCGATCCTCATAAAAGCAGCAGGTACCTGAACTTTGACCCCAAATCAAAGCAGAGATGAAAATGTGTCAAAAAATAATAAAAACTAAAAGAGTTGAGAATGTATGGTAAGCCATTAGTGCCTAAAATAATGCACATTTGAAAATGTATGGTAAAAATCAATTGTAAACAACAGGATGCTGTGTTTATCCTGGTGGCCATGTTGTGAACCTGCAGCCATTTTATGAATACTAAAGTATTTTATGAATACTAAAGTATTTTATGAATACTAAAGTATTTTATTAATACTAAAGTATTCACACCTTCCTGATTTCCTTTTTGTTTTTCATGTTCGACGATTTAGATCAAATAATTCAGTTTTTGACTGAAGCTGAGAAAAACAGCAGCTCCTGATAACTGCTCTGGTCTCCAGCAGGACTTTGACTGACCTTTTGGTCGGCCATGATGCTGCCGCCCTGCAGCGCCACCAGGGCGGCGCCGGGCCGGTCCTGTTCGCAGAAGATCGTCCCGTTGACGTAGTGGAAGCGGTCACCCGGCACCAGCCGGTTCCTGCAGGTGGCGCAGCTGAAACACTGGGGACAGACGGTGACCAGTCAGTAACCCATCAGACAGCAGGGGGCGCTACACAGCTTTTGATGCGCATCACCAACCTTCAGGTGGTAGACGCTGCCCTGAGCCCGCATCACCAGCTCACTGGCCGGGATGGACTGTCCACAGGCACTGCAGGCGCCGCTGTGACCGAAGAGCCTGAAACACAGAGTCCCACATCACCATGCTGCCACCACCGAGCCTCACAGCAGCGACCAGCTAACCTAAACCCAACCAGCTGGAACTAATCACATTTAAATCAACAAAACCAGAAACGTTTTCTGCTTGCAAGTTATCAGATGAACAGACACACGAGCAACAAATCAGAAACATTCAGTTTTTAACCTGTTCAACCATCAAAGTTTCAGAAACTCCTGATTATTCATGGAGCTTCTTTAGCTGATTAGCATTTCAAAAGCTTTGAATAACACATGAACTTTGACCCCAAGTCCCAGGACGAAGTTCAAACGGTCTCTTCCCTCCATCATCACATCCCCTACTGCAGCATCACATCCACTACTGCAGCATCACATCCCCTTCTGCAGCATCACATCCCCTACTGCAGCATCACATCCCCTACTGCAGCATCACACCCCTACTGCAGCATCACATCCACTACTGCAGCATCACATCCACTACTGCAGCATCACATCCCCTTCTGCAGCATCACATCCACTACTGCAGCATCACATCCCCTTCTGTAGCATCACATCCCCTTCAGCATCACATCCACTACTGCAGCATCACATCCCCTTCTGTAGCATCACATCCCCTTCTGCAGCATCACATCCCCTTCTGCAGCATCACATCCCCTACTGCAGCATCACATCCCCTTCTGTAGCATCACATCCCCTACTGCAGCATCACATCCCCTTCTGTAGCATCACATCCCCTACTGCAGCATCACATCCCCTTCTGCAGCATCACACCCCTACTGCAGCATCACATCCCCTACTGGAGCATCACATCCCCTTCTGCAGCATCACATCCTCTACTGCAGCATCACATCCCCTTCTGCAGCATCACATCCCCTTCTGCAGCATCACATCCCCTTCTGCAGTATCACATCCACTACTGCAGCATCACATCCCCTACTGCAGCATCACATCCCCTTCTGCAGCATCACATCCCCTTCTGCAGCATCACATCCACTACTGCAGCATCACATCCCCTTCTGCAGCATCACATCCACTACTGCAGCATCACATCCACTACTGCAGCATCACATCCCCTTCTGCAGCATCACATCCACTACTGCAGCAACACATCCCTTACTGCAGCATCTCTCTGACCAGGAGCAGCAAGAGCCAAGGAGGTGGATTAGCAGAGCTAGCTAACATGTTACTGTGGGATATAGTCTCTGCTTCCTGAGTGTTGAGCTGTTAGCATGTTAGTAGCATGTTAGCATGTTCTGTTAACACAGTCTTCAGTCAGAGGCTTCTTCAGATTGGTTGGAAAGCTGACTGCTACTGGAGATCCTTTCAGTGTCTCTTTAAAGATGCTAATGGCATAAATCAAATTTTATTCCATTAAAAATTAAATGCTACAAATATTAGTACTGATGCTAGTTTATAATTGCTGCCAGCATTCAGGCTAAAGGCTAAAAACATTAGCATTAAAGTAAATGCTAGAACAATAACACTGATGCTACAAATAAACTGAACTGAATTTATTGAATTTAGTTCAATAAAGTTTCATTGAACTGAATTCAGAGGTTGAAGGTCAAACCAAACCGGAGGTCAAAGATTCTGTGGTTTGGACCCGGTGGTCCGGTCCGGTCCGGTCCGCCTACCTGATGTAGTCGTTCTTGCAGAGGATCATTCCTCCCTTGCTGTAGCAGATGCTGCTGAACTCGCCCAGCTGGGCCTGGCAGCAGGAGCATTTCAGGCAGCGGGTGTGCCAGTAGCGCTCCATGGAGAAGAGCAGGAAGCGGTCGGCGATGCGCCCGCCGCATCCCGCGCACGCCCGGACGGCCGCCTCCACCCTGCTGTTCACCATGTCTGCATCACGCCCAACATGGAGGATAAAACAGGAAGATTTTATTTTAGTTTGATAAGTTGAGTCATATTTTCACCATGATGTTCATTTATGTTTTATTTGTAGTTATAAAGTTTTCTCATTAAGACACAAGATTTTATTTACAAGAGAACAGTTTTTATAAAACAACTAATTAATGAAATTAAATAATAAATGTCACAGTTTGAAGCTAAATATGTAAATATTTAGCTTCAAAGTAATTATTTAGCTAATATTCAAACTCACAGCAGGTAACAGGAAGTTAAATATTTAGTTACCAATTCAAGTTATCAGCAAATGATTTTACATATTAGCTAAATATGTTAGCCCACTAAGCTAATACTCACAAACTGTTTTACTGAGCAAACTAAATATTTAGAATCCAGTTAACCGGTAACTTTGAAGCTAGTTAGCTTTAGTTTAGTTAGCTTGCTAACTAAACATTTGGCTATTTAGTTAGAAACTGAGACATTTGTCAGGCTATATGACAGGCTGGATAAGTTAAATTATTGCCACTGTTGTCACTCCGTACAGCTGGCTCAACACATCCAGGTTCAGTTTGGACCTGGACCCGTCCAGAACTCGGAGCTTCTCATCAGTTTCACTCCTGAAACCAGCCGGTTCTTCGGGGTTCTGCTCCTTTCCAGGAACAGCTGGGAGTAATCCAGCCTCTGGCCGGCCCAGCAGTGAGTCAGAACCTCTGCAGAACCAGAACCGGGTCCAGGGTTATAATTAGCAGCAACATCAAACAGCTGCAGCAGCTGGCCCGGTTCTTCTGGAGCAGACACCTGGGTCCAATCATCCCGAGGCCGGGCTAGAGCCACTGACAGAACCGAACGGCCGTTTAGTTCGGCAGAACCTGGAAGTTTTCAGTAAAATGGTTCCAACGTTTACATGATGTGAGAATTTATCAGATTAAAGATGAGTTCAGATTCCAGAGGAACAAGACAATTTCCTGAAAAAACTCCAGTTTTCTGGTAAAAAATTAAGTTTTTAAACTGAGGATGAGGTGAATTTTATAGAAACATTTTCCCATATACAAGTCGTGTTTCTACTGGCAAAGACGGCGAAGAAACAGGAAGTGGAATTGTTTATTGAGTCACAGGCTGAAATCTGAATTTAGAATCACTGCAAACGTTTCACTGCTTCAGTTATTCATTAAAATGTTTCTGTTTGCAAAAATAGAAAAAATAGTTTTCATTTGTTTTTTCTTTGTATTAAATGTTTGAGTCGTGTGAGAACTTTGACCTTTGTGATGTTGGCCCGAGGTTTTGACCTCCAAACTTCCTGGTTTCAGCTGGAAAAGGCGGCAATCGCCATGGCAACACTCAGACTCAGCCTTCATTCTTTTTCTAATGTTTCCAGAGTTTTTTTTGCGCCTGCCGGCTGATTGGGTCGGCCCGGAACCGGGACTCCGGGTCGGCCCGGAACCGGGACTCCGGGTCGGCCCGGAACCGGGACTCCGGGTCGGCCCGGAACCGGGACTCCGGGTCGGCCCGGAACCGGGACTCCGGGTCGGCCCGGAACCGGGACTCCGGGTCGGCCCGGAACCGGGACTCCGGGTCGGCCCGGAACCGGGACTCCGGGTCGGCCCGGAACCGGACTCCGGGTCGGCCCGGAACCGGGACTCCGGGTCGGCCCGGAACCGGGACTCCGGGTCGGCCCGGAACCGGGACTCCGGGTCGGCCCACAGTGAGCCCACAGTGACGTCAGACGCTCCTGTTACTGCCTGCCATCATTAGTGAGACTGCCGTCTCACTAATGATGCCCCCTGGTGGCCTGTATAGGAACAACCACTCCCCCTGTGACCCTGGCCAGAAACGGGCCGAACTGGATCGGACCTCCAGAACACTTTCAGCTGTTTCAAATTAAAAACAGAAAAACACTAAAAGAAAACAAATAAAAACGATTTTAAAATTTGTGAGAATATTCATGAAATTCATTTTGAACAACAAAATAAATCCAAACAAACATTTAGTTTGTCTTTCTGGCTTTTATAAAGATGAAATGTATTTATTCTCATATCATCACCTTCCTAAAATTATGGACAATCATTTTTTCAAAAGTGATTTTGGAAAAAACTAAATAAATAGTTTAGAAAAAATACATTAGGAAGGTGATAATATGTTTACAGTAAAAATAAAATGTTTGGTTTTATTTCAGAAAAATCCTAAACAGATCATAATTCATTTCTGCTTCCTGTTCCTGCAGACAGAAAGCAGAAGTTCTGGTCCGGATCGGTTCCGACTCACCTCCTCCTGGTTCCGTTTGGTCCTCAGGGATCCGAACCGGCAGCTCAGCGGAAGCGGAGCCGAACCTCCTCCATATAAACTCCTCCTGGATCGGAACCGGACCCTGACAGTCCTGCGGCGCGTCGCTCCTGCTCAGCGCTGCTTCCTGACCGAGGTTTAAAACCGACTGAAGCCACGCCCCCTATGACGCCATTGGGAGGTGACTCGCCAGCTGCGGTTTCCTTCCTGGCCGCCAGAGGGAGACATTTAGCTCCTCTATTGACACAAAGGTAGAGATGTTTTCAATCCAAATACGGAGCAGAAATGATTATTTTATGTTGTTGTCAAATATCAAATATTGTAGAAATGAAGTTAAAAAGCTTCCAAACTTTCTTTGTATTGTATTGGAAAAATTGTCCTTAGAAATAATCTGCATCATTTATTGAACTATGAAACCAAGAGAAGATCAGATGAATCAGATGAATTTGGACATTTATGGAACATTAAAATCAAAATTAAAAACATAAATCTAACCACTTTAAATAAAATTGGCTTTAAAAAATAACAAAAAGCTTAATAAAATTTTAAAATTGTAATAAATGGATGTCATAATTTTATGTTTTTCATAATTATTCAAATGCAATGTAATTTACATCATGCTTTTTATTTTATTTAAACTAATACTATTTTACTAAATCAAATATAACACATAACTTAATAAACATCATGTTGCTGGTAAATATTAGATCTTATTTTCTTTGTTTCCAGTTTTTATTAAAAATATAACAAACATCTTACTTCTTTTGTGGCATTTTGAATTTTTTCTCCCGCCCCCTGAGCAGAGAGCGCCCTCTGCTGGACAAACAATTCTTCCAGTTTGTAAAAGGTCGGTTCAGTGCAGATACTTTCAAAAAATAAACTACATACACAAATGATAATAATACATATTGTTTTATTTATAAATATTAAATTATTTCAGGCTGCTCATGTTCCCATTTTAAATCAGAAACATTTTAATTCCATTTATTACTATTTTTGTTTAGTTTAATTCAAATAATCTTTATTTTAATTGTTTATTGTGGTTTATATCTTTGACTTGTGCATTGTTTTATTCTACTGTAATTTATTTTCTATTCATTTATGATTCTATCTTTTTAATTAATAATATTACCAAAATACTTTCAAGTGAAAACATGATTATTATTATTATTATTATTATTATTATTATTATTATTATTATTATTTTTTCACTTTGTTGATTTGTTTTGGGGGGTTTTTTGGGAGGTTTTTGTCTCTTACACAGAACGATATCTCTACATTTTTTTAGACATGTTTAAACTGAATTAAAATGTTTACAGATGTTTTAAAGAAACAGCGGGTCTTAACTCCGGGCTGTAGATGGCGCTGTTCATCACGTCATCCTAATTATGTGACAGAAGAAGACTGGCTGCAGTGTCCACGGTGGTGCGTTCATGTCCAAGTAGGAGTTTGGTATTTCTTGTTAAATGTCTCGTTTATAATGATCCAGAAAGTCAAATTTATACCTTGAAATCAAAAGCAGCTTTTCTTCACATCCCTCCAGAGTTTTTAGCTCCTGTTTTCTACTAGCAGAAAAACAAAAAGGTTTGTTTGCTTGTTTGTTTTTTTGTAATTTGCCACGATTTATAAAAACCTTCCTATCGATTCTATTGAAACTTTACCGTCTGTCTCAGAACATTATGAAGCATTTTTAATTAATCTTGTTTCACACTGTTTTTTATTTTAAACCGATATCTGGCTGAGATGCCCTCTTCTGGAGTTTATTGATGAAAACTTGAAAGCAGCATCCGTTATGATTGATTAAACCTCCAGTCAAACCATAAATGAATAAATGTGAACTGGTTGCGCTTCTATACTCCATGTTACGGTCGCCGTTTCCGATCATGTTGCATTCAACAACACCCCGTAAATTAAAAAACTACCCTGAATTAGCTGCTTATTGATCAAACCAGGAATCTGCCAGTTAAATCTGTTATTAATATTTAAGTATTCTCTTACTTTAAAACAGGAGTTTTACAATGAAGAACAGATATTTAGATTAGTAATAGTTTAAATAAAACTGCAATAAGTGTTCTATTATTATTTTTTTAATCATCATTTATATAGATGTGTCAATGATATGTCAAAATGTCTAACTCAATAAAATGATAATAAATTTTATATTAAACAATTACCCTTATTGGAGTTTAGGCTAAGATCCGATTCAATAAACAGCAATAATAGTGTAACTAACATAGAACTTAGTAATGAATCAGTTACATTACTAAACCTCAACAGGAGAATAACCACAAACATACGATTTGCTTTTGCTGTGCAATAAGTTAAATGAGCAAAAATAAACTTCAGTTTGCCACTCGGAACATGGCGGAAGAATGGTTTCAGTTGGCGAACAGGGCGTTTACGTGCCCGTAATAACCAGAGCAGAGGCGCACACAGTTTGTCAGTGGACGGCGTTGCCGTAGTGAATTCATCTGGTTTCACAGTGTGAGGGAGATTCAGCCTGTCGGGGCTTAGTGGAGAAAAGTTGCTTTAATAATTAACTGAGATATAACTTTCGAGAGATTTATGTCCTTTCTGACAGCGGCATTAAGCAGGTAGTAGTTAGCAAACCTCAGAAGCTGTTTCAAATTAAGGTCTTCAACCTTTAAATAAGTGAAACCGGAAACAAGCCAAGCCGAGGCGGATCCTGTGAGTGGAAAATATAGTTATTATATCTAATTATTATATCTGTAAATATCAGCTACATGTCGTGTTTGCGATGTTTTCAGGGATTTCTGACATGCTAGCTCTGTTAGCATCGGTGTTTACCGTAATGATGAAGGTTAGCATCCTCCTCCTCCTCCTCCTGTTAGTTACTGTCAGGTTCTGATGGGACGTTTTATCCGTTTACTGGGTCTTAATGGAACCAGAACCAGGACAGAACCACAGCCACAGTCAGCTAGCATGGAGTTAAACCAATATTTTCTTAAAAATGAGATTATAGTAACAACATAAATGGATAAATCTGACAGAACATAATATAATATCTTAGCAACAGCTGCAGTATTAGCTTGAATGAGTTTTTTAAGCCTCTATTCTCAGTATTTATAGTTCTAACCTGAATTGATTTGTGGGATTTTTGTTGATGGGAAAGGATGAGTCCATCCTCCACTCAGAGCATCAACATGTAATCAGATTACTTCATCCAGAGCATCCATCCTGTTTACGACCCGAAACCAATCCCAGATTGATCAGATTCAGTTCATGGCAGATCAATAAATAAATTCTGTTCAGGTTAATCTGTTCATTTCTGAATCAGAAATCTTTGGCTATTTCCCAAAGTGCAAAGTGAAGCAGCAACTGCTTTGTTTTCAGTTTGTTTCTGTTGACGATATATCGGCATCAACATCGGTATCGGTCCAATATCAGTCATTTTTTAATATATCGTATTGTTTTAATAAGTTAAACGATGTTTATCTCCATCTTGTCAGTATTTGGTCATGTGACAGTGAGGCAGCAAAGGATTGTGGGATGATGTTAAAAGCTCAGGCAAATGTAAGGAAAATGAATAATATTGATAAATATTGGATATCGGTGCGTCCAAACTTCCTCTGGTTCTTAATCTGAATTGGCACATTGGACCTCAAAGAATCACAGAAATTGGTTCTGACTTGATTGGTCCATTTCTAACACACAGGGTCAAAAATATTCATACGGCTTCCAGTGAGGGAAGTCCTGGTTGAACTGGTTCCTGTTTGGTCGGGTTCCAGCCAGTCCGTCGGTCCGGTGGGGCCAGCAGCTGCAGCGCAGCAGTTCTGGACGGGACGGGCCTCAGGATGCCTCTGTTCTCCAGGAGGAAGCCCAGCGAGGATTCCAAGAAGAGGCTGGAGCATCTGTACTGGTGAGAACCGGGTCGGTCTGGCTCCGTTCGGACCAGAGCAGACCAGAGCATGCTGGTTTCATTATGGATTAAATCTTATGGTTTCTGTCTTGACCTGCAGTCCAACCAGGAAGGAGCCGACGACATCCTGGATGTCTCAGCCTGTGAGCTTACAGAGGTGAGGAGCCACTAGCTACTAGCCAATAGCTTTTAGCTTGATGAACTAGCAGAGGAGAACCGCTAGCTACAAGCCGATAGCTGTTAGCTTGATGAGCTAGCAGAGGGGAAGAACTGCAGCTACAAGCCGATAGCTGTTAGCTTGATGAGCTAGCAGAGGGGAAGAACTGCTAGCTACAAGCCGATAGCTGTTAGCTTGATGAGCTAGCAGAGGGGAAGAACCGCTAGCTACAAGCCGATAGCTGTTAGCTTGATGAGCTAGCAGAGGGGAAGAACCGCTAGCTACAAGCCGATAGCTGTTAGCTTGATGAGCTAGCAGAGGGGAAGAACTGCTAGCTACAAGCCGATAGCTGTTAGCTTGATGAGCTAGCAGAGGGGAAGAACCGCTAGCTACAAGCCGATAGCTGTTAGCTTGATGAGCTAGCAGAGGGGAAGAACCGCTAGCTACAAGCCGATAGCTGTTAGCTTGATGAGCTAGCGAGGGGAAGAACTGCAGCTACAAGCCGATAGCTGTTAGCTTGATGAGCTAGCAGAGGGGAAGAACTGCTAGCTACAAGCCGATAGCTGTTAGCTTGATGAGCTAGCAGAGGGGAAGAACCGCTAGCTACAAGCCGATAGCTGTTAGCTTGATGAGCTAGCAGAGGGGAAGAACTGCTAGCTACAAGCCCATAGGTGTTAGCTTGATGAGCTAGCAGAGGGGAAGAACTGCTAGCTACTAGCCGATAGCTGTTAGCTTGATGAACTAGCAGAGGGGAAGAACCGCTAGCTACAAGCCGATAGCTGTTAGCTTGATGAGCTAGCAGAGGGGAAGAACCGCTAGCTACTAGCCGATAGCTGTTTAGCTTGATGAACTAGCAGAGGGGAAGAACCGCCAGCTACAAGCCCATAGGTGTTAGCTTGATGAGCTAGCGGTTCTTCTCTCCTCTGTTAGCTTGTAGCTAGCGGTTCTTCCCCTCTGCTAGCTACTAGCCGATAGCTGTTAGTTTTATGAGCTAGCAGAAAGGAAGAACCGCTAGCTACTAGCCGAAGTTGTGGGTTTGATTCCAGCTTCCTCCTGTCTGTAGTTCTGCTGGTCTCTGAAGTTCTTTGTTCAGTACTTGGTGACCTTTGACCCTGACAGTTGGTTCAGCCATCAGCTGACCCAGTGGCTGAGGATGAGCCAGAAAACCAGGAAGTGAAACCAAAATCCCAGTCAGCTGCTGGTAAATCAACCCAACAAACCGGTCTGGTTCTGTTTCTCCTAAAGGACCGATCCAACGGATCACTGCGGTCCAGAACCGCACGGCTCTGATGGGAAGTTTGAAGGAAATACAGAATATTAGAAACATAATTCAAGAGAAAAAACACAGGAAACAAATGGAAAATTAATGAAGATGCTGCAGAAGCTGAGCTAATCCTAAAGCCCTGCTAAAGCTAAATGCTATGCCAACATGGTAATTAGCAAAAGCTAATGATAATAAACTTTATTTTCTGCACCTCATCGCAGCTGAAGAACAGCTGCGATGAGGTTATCTGGAAAATTAATTTAGGAGAAGCTAAGTGTCGTAAATGTTTCCTAACTGTTAGCAAAAGTGCTATAGTGCTAACTGAAACATTAGCGCTGCTGTTAGCCATTTAGCAGAAGTTTTCCTTAAACCGTCCAGAACCTTAGAGACGGTTCTGATGGAGGTCAGACATTTTGTTTTACCTGCTTCATACTGCCAGACAGTTCTGTTCGGTTCCGTTAGGTTCTGTTAGGTTCTGTTAGGTTCTGTTTGGTTCTGTTTGGTTCTGTCGGTCTGAACCAGCAGATTTTGCTCCACCTTTGTCTCTTCAATGTTTCTGTTTTTATTTTGCTGCAGCTGCCGACCAAAGTTTTCTCCATCTGCAAGGTCCAGCAGAAGAAGGTGAGATCCACAGAGGTTCTGGTTCCGGTTCCGGTTCTGGTTCTGGTTCTGGTTCTGGTTCAGAGGTTCTGGCCCTTTTCCTTCCTCAGGTGCTGATCCTCCACACCAATGAGCTGAAGTTTCTGCTGCCTAAAGGATGTGACATCGGTTGCCTAGCAACCTTAAAGGTATCAGCATCTGACCCGCTGCTCTGATTATTGATTATTGATCAGTTTTTTGGCTCTGCAGGTTTTGGATCTGCATGAGAACAAGCTGAGCTCTCTGCCAGAGGAGATCGGGACCCTGACCAAACTGCAGGTACCTTCATCCTCCTCTTGCTCCTCTTCCTCATCCTCCTCCTCTTCCTCATGGCTGCTTCTTCCTGCAGATCCTGAATGTGGAGAAGAACCGTCTGAAGGTTCTGCCGGACTCCGTCTGCAGGCTGCAGCTGCTGCAGACGCTCAACCTGAAGGGTGAGGCGTTTATCTCAGAGACTCAGAAACCCTGACGGTCATTGAACGCATCGCCGTGTCTGACAGGAAACTGCCTGACGGAGCTGCCGGCGGCCATCGGCTCCCTGAGCAGCCTGCGAACCCTGGACATCAGCGACAACAACGTCCTGCAGCTGCCCAAACATCTGGCCCACATCCGCACCTTGGAGGTGAGGCAGCTGCTGCTGCAGCAGCTGCAGCGCTGCACCGCGCCCATGCAGCTCTAATTAAGTGTGTGTGTGTGTGTGTGTGTGTGTGTGTGTGTGTGTGTGTGTGTGTGTGTGTGTGTGTGTGTGTGTGTGTGTGTGCGTGCGCGTGTGTGTGTGCACGCACAGAGCTTCACTCTGGATGCTGCCAGCATGACCTACCCACCTGCGTGCGTCTGCGCAGAGGAACAGAGAGCATCCAGCGCTACCTCTGCGACGGTAGGACCAGACTCAGAGCACCTAACGGATGCTAACTGCTAATGCTACATGTTAAAAGCTACATGCTAATGTTACATGTTAAAAGCTACATGCTAATGCTGCATGTTAATAGCTACATGCTAATGCTGCATGTTAATAGCTACATGCTAATGCTACATGTTAAAAGCTACATGCTAATGCTACATTAATAGCTACATGCTAATGCTGCATGTTAATAGCTACATGCTAATACTACATGTTAAAAGCTACATGCTAATGCTACATGTTAATAGCTACATGTTAAAAGCTACATATTAAAAGCTACATGCTAATTCTACATGATAATAGCTACATGCTAATGCTGCATGTTAATAACTACATGTTAAAAGCTACATGTTAATAGCTACATGTTAAAAGCTACATGCTAATGTTACATGTTAAAAGCTACATGCTAATGCTGCATGTTAATAGCTACATGCTAATGCTACATGCTAATGCTACATGTTAAAAGCTACATGCTAATGCTGCATGTTAATGGCTACATGCTAATGCTACATGTTAAAGCTACATGCTAATGCTGCATGCTAATAGCTACATGCTAATGCTACATGTTAAAAGCTACATGCTAAAGCTGCATGTTAATAGCTACATGCTAATGCTACATGCTAATGCTGCATGTTAATAGCTACATGCTAATGCTACATGTTAAAAGCTACATGCTAATGCTGCATGTTAATGGCTACATGCTAATGCTACATGTTAAAGCTACATGCTAATGCTGCATGTTAATAGCTACATGCTAATGCTACATGTTAAAAGCTATATGCTAAAGCTGCATGTTAATAGCTACATGCTAATGCTACATGCTAATGCTGCATGTTTAATAGCTACATGCTAATGCTACATGTTAAAAGCTACATGCTAATGCTGCATGTTAATGGCTACATGCTAATGCTACATGTTAAAGCTACATGCTAATGCTGCATGTTAATAGCTACATGCTAATGCTACATGTTAAAAGCTATATGCTAATGCTGCATGTTAATAGCTACATGCTAATGCTACATGCTAAAAGGATATCTA